TGTAGCTATTATTGCGGCTGTTATGAGGACTTCAGCCGAGGTTATCATGTAATGTCGATCGGGGCCCAACTAAACCTGAATTCTTTAGAGGTCGACGATGTCGGCTATGCGTGGCCGCGGCAAGGCTAGCATTAGCAGCACCACATAATGCAGATAGTGTTTACACGTCTGTGTACGAGTGTGTTTAATCCTTGCGGCTTATGTTGTATCGGTGTGAATAATGAGTTTTGCTTAACATGCGCAAATGTCGATAAGTCAACTTCCGCTAGCCTTAGGCTCCGTGTAGCATTCATTATCACCATTTACCAGAGATACAGTTGTCGAGTTGTGCATTAATGTTGATATAAGTTTATTGTCGGAACATTTAAGTACGCCGTTATAATGTCTCTCGAAATGTAGTAGTAAAAAACACGCATTGTTAGGGTACAGCAGATATTTGAACGGATTATGAATCAAGTTGAGGCTGACGTAAGCTTGCATCTTACAGGAAAGTATTTTTGTTCGACGCTAGCGTCGATGTTGGTGATATTGGAAAATACGCCCGTGAAAAGAGTAACCGTTGAATTATCAGAACGTTTTTTAATTGGTCAGCATTCAATATGGAAGAAAGCAGATAACCAGCCTGTTGACTATTTATGCTGAACCAGTATGACAGTCCTAAATGCTCGAAAGATTCTGTCAACGTACTGGGGTCTGAGCGTTTTAAGCATGTCATTGCGGTTTGTTACCATGTTGGTTGACTGTCTGTCTTAGCTGATTTGGTCCAGTTGCCCTCAAAATATTTTGCATTGTTTGTTAATCCGGTCTATTTTTTATGAATATATTAGATTAGTAGCAAGCTACGGGTTGATATTCATAATCCCCCATATAGCATATCCGGTATGTGGTGGGCGGCTAGAGGATACGATTTTTTTTATATTTCCGCTTAACTGCCTAATCATAGCCATACTCATATTAAACTGTGCTTTTACTGGTCCTAAGTCCGGAAGAAGGTCCACAAAGGACGTATATTTCAGTGGTAGCACCGAGCCGGTTTCTCGGTCCGCAATACCGCCATCTATAATCAACAGGCGCCACCTGGCGGATTCAGTCGGAAGTAGACGCAGTCACTGTCGCGCTGACTCTTAATGCGGTACAGGCACACGGCACACCGTCCAACCACTAGCCATAGAATCATACGCGATCACACAGTGTCTTCTCGAAACTGCTTACAGTGTGCATCATATGCCAGTATTCACACAAGAAATCTAGAAGATCCTCGAATCTGTTAGGACAGGCGAAATGTTCTAGCACGCGGAAAAATGTTGGCATCTTATTAATATGCCAATAGGATGTTATTAGCTTCGAAGGCCGGCTAAGTGAACGTATGGCTCGTATTCATATACTGGGATAGCAAACACATAGTTTTGTTATTTATATAAGAGTATATGAGTCCTAGGCTGCTCGTGAGTTCTACTCATCGCGGCCTTTGTTTATTATTTGAATAAAGTATTTCAATGATGAATTTGTTTAAATTAACCAGTAACGACATTCGTCGCGCTACAACTGGCTTCACTCATTAAAGTTATCAATTTTATAACTTAACTGTCGAAGAGGTGGCATTACATTAGGCATCGGACCGGCGGTACGTCTGCTTATATGGCAGCTGATAACAGGTGTATGTAAAAGTAATTTGATGATCGATAGTGGTAAGGAGAGACTACATTCTTTTGATTTCCAATGTAGTACTTTATAGCTTAAAGATGGACTGAAGAACACTTCATTAAGTCTATGCGTAACAGATAAAGTGACCATTCGACTTAAATTGCTTAGGTAGACCTTCCGTCCGTGTGAATTGACAGAGATCAGTTTATGCTCAAAGCAGCTATTGATTTTTAGAAAAATTAGAACTGCCAAATGAAATTCTAAATAGAACTGAACATATCAATTTGGTACAGGTAGCAATGTCAGGCGCTTTTAAGAGATCATTCAAAGTTACCAAAGTTAGTAGTCTCGAGATTTTGATGAGTATTTTATTTTTCGTTATAGGTACGGGATGTAGCAAACCGAAGTAGAAATTTCCTCAAGCAGTAAATTGTGAGTAGCTTAGTTTAAAACTTTTCGACGGTGCCTTCGACAAATAAACCTACTAAGGGCTGGAAAACAGAGCATTTAATGCTGAAAGTGGAATTTCGTAAACTAGAAATTTCGTGTATTTTACGATCTTACACGACGTGTGTTGACAGCTAAACTGTATGAATAGGTAAATGACCTCACACGTGTAAAGCTAATGCATTTCGAAGCTTGTCTTTAATTTGGGTCGATGGCATAAGTCCAGGTGCTATCATCTTCACGGCTTTCTGCTGAAGGCTTGAGGGTTTACAAACCGTATCAAATGATCTTATTGGTTCTATTTTCAACAATGTCTTATTTCTTATCGATTGTCATTAACGGACGGTAAAATAGCTAAAAAAAAGTTTTGTTTATTTACGCGGAAGTTATGTCCGTCTGTAGGCAAACAGTTTCTGTTTTTTCGCTTTTTCGCGCGTGATGCTTTAGTCACTGCAGTGATTTCGAGCAGCGTACAACACATGCATATATATATGTGAGCAGCACTGTCATATTTTATCGGTTGTTTGATAATAATAACCATCGGTGGGACGCTAATCATCGTTTGGCATCTACGGTAACCAGTAACAGGTCGACAATGAAGCCGAAGTACATTGACATAGTAGAAACATAGACAGACTAAACTCTATGGTATAAAGTAAAAGTTATTTAATATTCTTATCTTGAGGAGCGTACTGACATTGATTTGCAATTCTATAACAGGATCAAGACAAGTTTGTCGAACCTACTACACAAAACGAAAAAAACAGGCAGGCTCCTGCTCACATACAGCCCACAAGATCTATTTGCGTCCGAAGTTAATTACAATGAATTGATGCTAGCTGCAACATCTGGGTGATAACACTGGTATAATATCGAACGATGGCTAACATAATGCATTAGTTGATGGCTGATTTGGTAAAACAGAAGAAACAAAATCTGGTGTCATCTTCCGTATGTATACAATCCAACGATCGGATAGTCTGATACTACGGCTCACTGATAGTAGTTTTCAGGAACTGATAAATGTTTTTCGGTCTCCGCTTACCGGCGATTCGACATATACTAACGAACATAGAGTAAAAGACAAAGGAAGATCATGCGAAGCTTTTTTTAAATAAGATATAAACAATCGATTTCATATTCGAGCTGAATAACCGCTTTACATTAATTAATTATTTTACGTTAAAAATCTATACCTGATATTCGGTAAATCAGAACACTCGGTATGGCAACCTGCATTGCAGGCAGCTCTAATTGTGAACTTGAACCCAAAATATGCTCAATTATAATGTTTACAACATGCATTCACAATATCGTTAAAATCGAAACATGTAGATCTTTTTTCTTGGGAGCGCAATTAGAGATGGATGGGGAGCTGTCAGCGTATTTGCGTCTTTACATTATTCAAGCCCTTGTTTACCTAGTTACTAACGGGCGTTATATTAATGGGGCGCTAGCTGGCCGGTTTGCTAGATAATAAAACTCGCTCTCAGAAATGGACACTTGACGGCCGATTCTCTAAGCTACTTAACGTCTGGATATCAACTTCTAATCACCAGCAGGTAGCAATAAGCTATCGCTAGCCGCTCACTGACTTTAGAATGTTGTGTTTATTCAAGTCCCGTGTACGAAGCTGCATTGCTTTGCGTAAGTGTCAGTATTTGACGGTCTAATACAGTAGTGTGGAAGATTGAAAACAACTGTTGAAACAAAAGCCATTTCGACCTGTCATATAGCAAGGTTATATTACATGTCGAATTTTACTGCTATATATAGAGGCGGTCGGCTTATGTCATTTGCTGAGCAGAAGCAGTATTAAGAGAAATGAGAGATGAGGCATTGGTTTCAGTAAACGTCCAATGAATTTACAGCGACTTGGTTAAAACTAACAAGCACGTGTGTTACGTGTCGTCTACGTCGGACCTTTACGAACGCGATGATTACACTGATGGTCTTAAGAAACTATGTTTCATATCTACAGTAACTTCCTTGTCAATACATTTTCGTCTGAAGAGATTCTCATGTCAGACCTTTGAGAGATTTTGCTAATCACAAGTATATGAGTTAAGCTTCTTTTGACATATTTATGGCAGGTCATAAGTCTGAGGTAAAATAACATTCTCCTTATTGACAGCTTTTCCCAGGGGCAATGTTTATTTAGCGTACTATCTTCATGGAATGACCCGACTTTAATCGTGCACATGGGTCTCTCTTTCTTGGGGTCAAAAAAGTGAACCGATTAAGATCTCGGGGTGCTGACCGTAGGGTCACCAAGCGAGTCGTATACAATTAATAAAAATATTGTAGGTTTTGCGTCCGGTCATATGTGACTATAGTCCGATTAATTTTCGTTGACACGGTGTAGACGCCATCCGTCGACAGCCAAAACGAACTCGCTGTTGTTGTGGAAGCATAATGTTCAAACTTGGTTATGCTGTCTTTAGTTGATTAACCTTAGCGAGCTGGGTTATATATTATCCACAAGAACATGAGGAAGCTAATGCTTTATATAAGTAAAGGATAAGACCTACCTCTAAACCGTTCCACTACATAGTTACTGTCATAGTTTTAACAGTGGAATCGAAATAGAATCCATATATTTGACAACGCGAACCTTGACAGTTGTTCCAATCCCCAATGAATTAAATAAACCGGTATAATCATTGAAGCCGTAATCGCCAACGGTACTGCGCCCACTTAATCGAGCCTACTGTAAATCTAATTAGCGTCACGGAGCGTGACGTATATTATTAAAGTTGTCTAGTATAATGGAACTTTCGACGCTTCCGTCCGCAGCCACTACGACAAAGGTCTGCTGAACCTGAATTGTCTAAGGTTGTCTTGAAGCGCGGTCAAGCGCGAAAAGAGGTGGTAGACAAGACAGGCTGGAGGCCAGTTAACGCTTGCGGTTTTTTTCTGATGGCCAGCAGAAGGTCCTAGCCGCGTTCTTTCTATTTCTTTTTTCTGGCCCACAAAAGAAGATCGTGCCTCTGCACTCTCAACCTGCCTTGTTTGTGTAAAGTAAACCTGCTAGAGCCTGCGATGAAACTTGACCTACGGCAACGACGATAGCAACAACGACTACTTATCATACCGCTGGCATAGCGGTGGTAACGGTAATAAGCGACAGGCACCAAGCGAACGAACAGATGACCTAAGAGGCAGTCTGAGCCAACTAACTGGCCGCCTGGTAGCCAGCTACGCCTAGAATATGATGATGCGGTGGAGTTGTAGCCAAAAATCGCCCCCGTTACCATTGCAACGGACCGTAGTTTCAGTTAGCCGGGTTGAAAGGTGGGCGGCCCAAAGAAAGAGGCGATAGAAGACTTCTTTTTGTTGTTTGCCCCTTGATACTGGCGAAAACAAGCAGAACGGAGAAGTGAAAGAATAAAAATAACGCACAGGAATAGATATAGGAGGCAGATAGATATAAACTGCGAGAAACTAAATCAGTAGAAAAAAAAGGACCATGAATACATGGTATCACAGGAACAACGATAGGAAAAAAGGCTCATCCGTCTTCCGTAAGTTAATGCGTTATAAAGGCTGTTTGCACTGTTTAAAGCAATGACGAGATGATCCAATCTAGTGTGGTTGACGAAGTGGTCAATGCTTATGAATTATATGTGATGAGCAATAATAATAATTGTTTTGTTAAATTTTGTTTTAAGAATTAGCGGCAAAATTTGGAATTGAGCCTGTGATTTGCGTCTTTATATGAGCCCAGCGCACAACACAATAGTGCGGGCTGTTTACAAGATTATATTTGCACCAGGTTCAATACGTACTTTAAGTGGGTGAAGCTTACTTCGAATATTGCTCGGACAATATAGGCGTGCAGTATTCCGTTACGTCGTTAGTTGAGTTAACCTTAAAGCGTGGAAGCCTCAGTTAGCCTTGGGATAACAGTCATCAAGTAACTACTGAAAATATATAATTAACCTGTTTTTTTTAAACATATTTTGAGCTCTATTGCATTGAATTGCGTGAAATTCTCTATTTTTTAATTTTCTCAACGATCTTTAAAGTGGGGACTATGACTTCTTCTTAAATGTGAACGATAACTTTACATTGTGATTACGATTCTGAAAAAACTAATATTCTTAGGTAATTTTTATATTAGGAAAGGTAGTGATCATGGCATCACCTTCTCAAAACTAACGGGTGGCATTTGAAAACTAGTTTAAGTGAGTGTGTCTGTTTACCTATGCTGATCTTCAAGCACGTAACGATATATGCGGCGGCCCGTTTCACTTAATTCCATGTCCCAATCCCTGAAGGGTTAGAAGTTTAGTATTCTCATTGTTGTATCGCGCTGATATTTGCTTTGACCGCTGATATATGTGTTGGTTCACACAGTGCCGATTGAAAAGTGTAACCCTTGCTATTTGGCAATAGATACTTTTCTACATTTTGCCGTTGTTCAAGGGTTGACACCACAATAACGAATAAAGACAGCAAACTATATAAATACACCGTAGATGTATGTATATATATTATTACATACAGACCGTCCAGTGATTTCAACAAACTATATATAAGCAGCTAGCCACTTAGACGTCACATATTGTGCTTTCAAAGCATCTTCGAAACATTTACAATATCTATATTCATAGAGGATTTGCTTTTGGTCTCGTAGCGACCCCGAGAAAATGTACGTTATTACGTGTTCGCCTTTTGTGAGCTCTGAAGGGCGCCCGTTTTGTTTTCCTACTCTGTGGTCTCATATCATTTTGCTTCGTCGCAGATACAGGCTTATAACATGGACGAAACTATATGCCACAGTGACACTTAAGGATTGCCCCTGGGGAATAATGGCCATATCATCCAAGATTAGATCATTAGAGTGCAAGGAAGGCGTCTCTTTTGACCTCTCCATCGCTGGAGTTACTGAATGACGACAACCATGACGATATGATTGCGAACATTGTTGTTGTGGGTGACGTTAATACGTCGATACGTGAACAGCAGGCAACATGCATGATTGAGAAGATGCGGGGAGTAGCTCTGAAAAATTGCGTTTTAAATCTTTTTGTCTTGACTTTTTTCTCGATGCGACAGCCAGTATCGCGTACGTGCCGTATACATGCGTAAGAAGGGTCGCACTCTGCCTCCCGTAGCAATTGCGTTTTCCACGAAATGTCGTTAGAGGGCTAACGGATGACAGCGCCTCTTCGAGGGCAAGGAAAGACAAGTGAAACAAACATTCCACCCTTTTCATATATCGTATATTTTTTCGGCTTTTTCGTTATTTTCGCTTCTACGCTCGTGCAATCTGTAGATGCCGTTGAATTTCGAAGTCATCTAGCATAGGCTGCCCCAATGCGGCGGCTGACTCAGGCATCGACGGAGGCGCAGCTTTTCTACTGGAGCTTTTTTTGTCTCGTAATGTTTCATATGATGTTATATTCTCACCACGCCGTTCACCTACTAATTCACACATTACTTCCAAATGTACCATAACATATAACCACTTCCTCATAATGAATTCAAAGAGATCTGTAGAAACTGCGGACATCAAAAAAGAAGGTAGGATAACAAGTAAACTAAAAATGTGAATATGTGTCGCTAAACTTTTTGTAGTAAGATCGGGGGGTTATTATGAACTATTTTTCTGGCGATTCCTGCTTGACTTATTTTCTGGAAAAAAGTCAAGGCTTGCTCTGCTTCTCTGGACACTCGTACGCTAATTAGTAAAAAAAAAAAAAAGCAGCAATGTTTGATAGACGCTTGCGCGTTAAAGGATATGGTGATCGTTTGTGCTTTGTAGTAATGTTAAATCGATTTTTAAACTAGTTACAGATAGGCTGGTCGGTTATGTTTCTGTCATATATTGTCCATGATTATGAACTCATTGCTTAATAATGTCGTTGTGACTACGCAGTTGCGTCCTTACCAATTACGATGTTTTAATAAATAAGCGTTTATAATTTACTAAGCGCGTGAAAATTTCAATGGTCCTAGGAGGAACTTGTATTGAAAATCGCGATGTTGTTTTAACTGAGTAACTATGATGGGGTTTTAAAAGGAAAGGGTAGAATTGAGTTTGTCAATCACATGGCCGTTTTCTATGTGTAGCACATGTCAAGGAAGATGAAGTGCGTATCGCTTTCCTAAGCTAACCTAATTATAATCATCAAGAGCAACGGCTTGCATCTCCTATCCATGTGTTCGTAATTTTCGAACCCACGTATGCCTGTCGCGGGCGCTTGCGACAGATGGCGTCCCTTCTAGCTGGCTTCTGGGCCCTAAGACACTAACCTTGAAATGAGGTCTTCGTGTGAAGCGTTGCTGGTAGCATAAAGGGCTGCCGTCTTGAGCTTGTTTAGTTGCAATAGCCGTCCAATATACGGACGCAGTTTCATTAACCGCAGACTCGACTCGTCGGTCGAGTCCCGCAGTGATTATGCTTCGTCCATGAATAAGTATATATATATATATATATATAGCATACTTTCTAGCAACACCAGGCTTGGATAGGTTGAAACAGGCCTCGCGCTGCCTTTAATTAAGTAGAAACCACATGCTCTCAACAAAGCCTTTTTCTGAGAGCAACGGAATATACTTAAAAGTAAAAGATCGTTTTGTCTGAGGGAATTCATTGGGTTTATGGATTTCGCATCGTCTCCACTTACGCCAATATGTGCAATTAGAAGGTTTCTAATATAGCCCGTAGAGTTGGTCTTCGTTGCAGTTGCGTACATTGTTCACTATAATGACTTAATGGTGCTCTGAATTATTATCTGCCATAATAATTGCAAACTTTAAACGTCGATGAGCCTGACAATATTTGATACTCATCTTTTGAAGTATCTGCACCTCAATCCTTAATAAAACATTCCGTCGAGTTTCGCTCAGGGGTGTCCTCGCGGCATCGATGCTCGTGATTTATCGTCGGTGTACGTACGTCGAATCAGCACAGTAACACATAAAATAAAGCATTACTGAACAAGTCATGCTTCGTCGTTTAGCCCATATAAAAATAACCGTCTCAAATTCTACATCAAGCATACAGCCGCTAAACATTGTTTTTTACGATAACGTTAAAACTAATATAAAACAACAGCTGTAAATTATCACCGCCAGTCCTCGTACGCCCGTCGCGTCAATATATCACAATAAGCAAAATTAGTTTAATAGCTAGGGTGATACATGTTTTTGGTTATTCCTATAGCCATGTACGTATAATACTGATCCGAGGTAGACTGAGTGTGAAAGACCAGGGAACTTGTTTGCTCGCATTGCTTTTTGTCAGAGTTTTATAGCTGATTGATACTTGCCAGAATCAGTCAATCTATATAGTTTTATAAACTGAAAAATAATATATATAAATGAAAAAAATCACCATTAACGTACCGCATAGTCACGTTCCTTAAACAATTATAAGAAAAGTATAATATTAACGTAACGCCTAGAGCACATTTATATTTGCTAATTATGTATATCGGTCGCGAGTTAAACATGCACCATTAGTGTACGCTCTTATATAGGATTAATAGAGCAGAGAACTCGTTACTGCCCGCCTATACGTTGAAATCTAATTATCTTTTGTCCTTTAAAACTGTTACTGGCCATTGCGTGTTAACGGAATAAAGTTTAATTTGCCTTTTACTAAAAAAGGATTCGTCACGCAATTTTCAGATCATCAAGTTGTTGACTTCGTTCTCGTGATACGCTTGTCATTTTATTTTCCAGAAGCTTCGAATTCCTAATAATTAAGCAGTCTATCGAAAAGACTCCAAAAGCAACTAAAGACAAAAAATAAAGTTTGTTCCAGCTGTTAACGCCGGAAGGGGTAGAGCGCTTGTTGAATCACAAAGTTTGCGATAGTAGCAACAGAGTTAGTCCTTATGTCATGATTTAAAATATTCAGAAAATTTTACATAGTAAACAGGATGATAAGGCAACGTCAGACGCTAGACGGTGCTGATTGCTTTGAGCTTGGCCTTATCTGTGTCTAATATGATGATTAGTTCAACAAAACATATCTGCGTGTCTGTTATACTACGTATGTACATGTAATATCAGCTAATTCAGTTTATCTGACCGTGCGCATCACGTATGTAGTGCAAACACTCAGTTAGATAGCTTGTAGTGACTTGTTTCTGCAATCGTTGTTCGCGCAGGATGTAGTAGCAACGCATGCCTCATCACGGTATTGAAACGTTTCGAAGGTTAAGGTGCCACAACTAGCAAACGCTGCCGTATAGGATACTGAGTGGAGGATCCCGAGCTAAGGTCCTAAGGTAACGGAAGGACCAACAGGATAGGTAGGATGTCCGCTGCGGTGATGACAACCGAAGCTGCCGGAAGCGCCACTCCACCAGTGGCAGTTGATACTGGCGGAGACGATACGCTTTGGCGGGAGGCGGTTCGGTGGCTCGTGGACTTGGACATGCTGCCGAAAGATCATATAGTCATGGCACCCGATGCCGGAGTAAGTGAGCCGATTTACGTGTTATATCTCTTATGTATATTCGCTCTAGAGCCACATAATCGTAGTCTCAAGTCGTATTCGTTTCGTACTACTATTAAGTTTCTTATTGTTAGCGTTTCTATTGAAATTTGTTGGGCAAACGGGCTATTACTTAGCGATCGCCTAGAAGTATCTGGAATTAGGATTTTTCGATATTCGCCTTTTCGGCCACACCAAACTCGTCGGACTGCGAATTAGATGCGATAAACATGGACGTCAGTTATAACTAAGCGAGAGATTTCCAAGTTTATAACTCACTTTGCACGCTTACAGCTGTGTCTCTCTCTGAGCTTTGTCCGTATATAGTAGTTGATTGCGGCCATGTTTATGCAGTATGGCATGTGGGGCGCATGCTTGAACTCAGAAGCTGATAGCATTTTTCAGGACAACGAGCACGCTAGTTGATGCCGTCACTATGTATTTCTCCAAAAATCGACGTTTAAACATATTTTTGCGACGGTGGCGTTTTTAGGTGGAACATCTGGCGTATACACTTCGCGATGGGGTCGTGTTGTGCAATCTCGCTCTACAGTTGCAACCAGGCTGCATTGACCACAAGGACATGTCTCAGCGGCCACAAAAGTCACAGTTTCTTTGTAATAAAAACATTCGAGCATTCCTACAGGCGTTATCCACGAGCTTCGGTGAGTTCTCTTCACCCTTCGCCACAGCTTCTTTTTAACTCACTTAATACTATCTTTTGTGACGTTGCCAATTATAAACTACGTTACTAAGCCAGATTAGTACATTTGTCGTGGTTTCGCTTTCAGATCTGAAGTCGCCATCAGACCTGTTTGAGCCCGAGATGTTATTCGAATACACGGATTTCAAACGCGTCCTTCACACACTCGCGGCCATGTCCAATTCTCCTCCGGCTTTAAAATCTGGAGTTATGTAAGTCAGCTCCAGACCGAAAAAAAAATGCCCTTCGGCGTTCATATAAAAGCTAGTTAATACCCAAATGCGCAAGTTGCACCGGGTTGATTCCCGTCAATACCTATACTCTTACCAAAAACATAGTCGATTATGTAACGGTACCGAGTGACCGCTGGCAAGAATCGTCAAGTATCCGCTAAAGATATGGATGTGTTTAGCGCTTTACCCCTCCCCCAGTGGGGTTAAATTAAACAATTGGTTAAATGCTCAAAACTGTCCTTAAACTTGAGGTTGTTTTAGCAGTGTGCTCCTAGCCACTCTCCCATACGTTTTCGTAATAGCTTATACAACTAATGTTGAAACTCTTTTACTAATAAATAGTAGGGATCCCCATACGGTGACGTGGAATCTCCGGCGCAGTCTTTGATAGTATACTACAAGAGAATTGGCGTACGTTCTTCGAGGTTTGTGTCTAATGCATATATGATCGGTACTTTTCTACTTATTTGATTTCAGTGGATTTAAGGCCCCGAAGGGAATTGGTAACAGCGACTATTATAATCAAAGCATGTTTCTTAATGAAACGGCAACACCAAATGGTACATCATTTGACAACAATGGGTACGTAATGCTATAATTTTCGTGTTTTCGCTCACGAGTTAAATTTACCAATCTTCCTCTGCATAAGCATATATAGTGGCAAACAATGATCAATGACAAACAAATGAGTTCGTATACAGTTCCTATTCGATTGAATAACACTGGCCGGGTCATTCTTGAAGATGAAAAATTTAGCTCTAATTACTACATATATCCTTGAGATAAAACTAGTCTAAGTATTGTACTGCTTGATTTTATAGTATTAAAGTTACCTTCTTGTATTCAACAGACAACTTCCTTTGTGTCTACACCTGTGTCGTGTTATTCGTTTTCTAAAGCTAATTGGTCTGAAAAGTAAAAGGCTCGTTATTTAACCACTAATCATTTGAACAGTAGTGGGTCTGCTGAGTTAAAAATTTTGTAGTTGAAGTATAATGCCGCCATTTGTTAATGTCCTAACGTCCTTCATCTGTGTCTTGGCCTTATGTTGCCTTTACCTCTGATTCCATCTTGGTCTTGTGGCAACTTTGTATGCGATACACATTTGCCATGGGTTTGAATACGCGGCGGTCCGTATCGTGTGCACCTTTACAACTTTCTTCATCACTCTTGGACTCTCGCTGTTCTGGGCATCACTGAACAGCGACGGTGAAGCAACTCATATGGCGTTTACGTTCCCCGCTATCCAGGGGGATTCACGGACGCGATCCCATGCTGATGCTCTCTACGAGGAGCTCTGCTATGTATCGCTGAAACTCAAACCTAAGACTCAGGTAGCTAAATAGACTCTGAACGACTGCTACCGGCAAACCAGCGAACGATACACGAATGGAATGGATGTATTTCTGTATAACGCATGGCGCCTAGCTACGTGATCGCTAGTGATTTGAGCCGTTCAGCATAAACGAATAGAATCCAGTTTGTGATTCCGTCCCCAACCCGCCTGTTTCCGCCAGATCGGAGTATTTACAGACTAACAATACTTTTTTCAGGCTGCTATTATTTTGGAAATTAATTTGCTTTCATTTTTGTTCATGTTTATACGCATACGGCTAGAAATCAGTAGTTCTTTATCGTGCTAAGTTCTGCGTGAATGTTTTCGTTTTGTATTTGATTTCTCATCCGCTTTGTTCCTGTATGTTCATACGCCTTTTGACAAATGGCGACGGTCATGCAATCCAAAATAGGCGTTGTAACATGAATGGTGAGCTAACTGGTGGACCAAGGAGTCCACGTATTACCGAGGCAGAAGAGATCTATCACAAAATCTGCGTTGTACCGAGGAGCGCGCCGAAACCTAAGACGGTTTGTGTACTTTGTTTTTCGAATAAATTTTATCAGTTTAAGTTATTGAATTGCCGTGTTGTCGGACACACGAAAATTCGTGCACAAGTAGAAAGTCTAGGTAACATAAATCTCATTTCGAAGGGGTAGTTCATTTAGTGCATTTGCTCGAGAGAAGGTCGCTGGGGGATCACCACAGGTCTACAGAACCGTTATTGCTGGTAGCCACATCAGTATTGATGAATTATGTGTGAAACTTATGTTGCTGGTTGTACACGGTCATGTGGAAACACAGTTGTTATTTAGATTCGAACACAAGTCAATTCCGTTTGGTTTTGTTATTCTCGTTCTCTTTTACCTTTCCACTATTTGTTTATGTCTGCATTTTGATTTACTCTCCCTTTTGTGAGTGCATAGCAGTGTCATCGTGCAGAACCTAGAATTTCGTATCGCCGAAAACTTAGATTCCAAATGAAAAAGCGTTGTTAAGATGTTTGTACTGCACATAAAGAAGGCTTCATGACTGAGAAGAATGCTCGAGAAAGCTTGCTAGGTTCTAGGATTGAATCTCTACTTCAGTCGGCCTCTCGGTCAATGACTAGCTCAGGTGGCAAAAAAAAAAAGTCATCCAAGTAGGTAGGCTGCGAATGCCAGATTATTTTAAGGCATCATGAATGTACGAAATTCTATCGGAAATTAGGGGCCTGGGTGTGTCATGGACTAGGTAAAGCGCACGAATAGATAGATATAACTTCTCGCTGACTCTCATTATTTCGACCCCACTGGGCAACGCCCAGTCGCAATGACAAGGTTATGTTCTTACAAGTGACTCACAAGAATTCTTACAAGTGGCAAGAAGTAGCTGTACTACGTCGATATGAAGTAGATGGAAAATGTAATGGCTGACCCTGAAGGATACACCTCAGTTCTGAGTTAAACCAGGTCTTCATCTTGAGAAGACAATGGTTTGCGTTCGGTTTGGCGAAACTGGAAAGATCTTGTACACTAAAGGGTGCTTAAGAAGAACAAGATGGACAACAGGGATCTGTGTAGAAGCCAGCTACACCAGGCGAAGGCGGATATTCAGTGGCAAAAATCCGATAGACAAGGCAAAGTCAACGACAATGCTAAGCCGAGATACTAGTCAAAGATTGCGAAAGTCACCCTACAGGAGCTTGAGCGAAAGGCATTTTGCACCCACCATATTGTCTAGACCTCGCTGCGAAGGATTATTGCCTTTTCCAATTAGTTGCAAATGAAATTCGTAACCGTACATTTGACGATGGAGAGGGTCTTTTTGGTTGGACAGGTTCAACATGACAAGTTTGAACACTTGTGACGAAAAAAAATAAATAAATTGGTTGAGGTATGAGAGAACATCAAGAAGGGTAACCACAAATACATGATAGTATTACATTCATTTGTTGTTAGAATTTGGTAGAGACGCTGCGTTTTGTCGTTAAGTGGAAATGCGGAATTTACGCATGTTCTTATCCAATCTAATAATAACTATTATTATTTACTTACGTTCTAAGCGGCCTTGCAAATTGCTCTTTGGAAAGGTTGTCCTTGGCATCTGCATGGATGGAAGCATCATTTTAGCTCCTAATTTAGTGCTTTTGTTTGCCAGATGTTACAATAAGCCAATATTTAATAATATAAATGTAGGTTCCTTTGGAAAAGCGTGACCTATGTATACAGGAGCTTCTCGAAACTGAAAAAAATTATATCCAAGCCCTACAGATGATTCGGAAAAAATTTCAACAGCCGCTGGAACCTGTACTACGAGAAGATGCTGAGGTATGTTATTATCTTTATGCGATCAAATTTGGAAACTTAAGCAAGTACATCTTATCGTAGACTGAATCAGGTTATTTGATTACTAATAAGTTTAAGCTTTAAGTGACTATCTGGAAACTTATTCCTTTTTTTCTTTTATTTATTCTTGTCATCACTTGCAACAGATAATTTTCAAACACATTCGAGGGCTCAGCGAGGTGCACACAGGCCTTCTGTCAGACCTGCACGTAGCTAATCAGGTACCGAACGGCCGCATCTCGGAGTGCTTTCTACGGTGGAAAAACTCACTCATCGTATACGGGGATTATTGTTCTAATTACCCGCGAGCTCAGCAGCTTCTCCAGGAACTACAATCGAAGAATGACACCGTCGCTCAGGCCATAGACAAGTGAGCGCTGTTTCATATAACATAATAAACGCTTTGAAGAACAATCGACACTGCGAAGCACACGTAATCGATCAATCATATTTCAGATAAACTGTAAAATAAAGCTAGGTATAGAAAAATTAACACGTTATGCATGCCACTGGGTGAATAACACCGTGCAACGCTGCGATTCGTTGTAATACAGGTGCCAGAGAGAGACAAACGATGGTCGCTACCAATTGAATACTCTCCTATGTGTACCCATTCAACGTGTTCTAAAATACCATTTGCTTCTGAAGGAGCTAGTAAAAAATACACTTCCCCAACATGATGATTACCTCGGACTGGAGAAAGCGCTTGAAGCCATGCTCGTAAGTATGACGGAAGCTCATTATTGATATAATTACAAAGTACGTTCATCATTAGCAGGTGAATGACGACAAGACGGACTGCTTGAGTTTCGGTTCTGCACATCTCTACTGGTTCTTAGTTTACGAGAATTAGGTTAAGAGGCAGACGAAACTTGCCGCCATCTTAGAGTTTGCCGATTAACAGTTCCATTTGCGCTGCAGCCGACCCAAAAACCAGCTATTCAACAACGCTGGTTCATAGTCGATCAGTTTGTTGGAGCAGTTAACTCGAACCTGTCATAGTGGATTACTATCAACATTGCACTTCTAATTACTATTAATCACTCCGCATGTAAAGGTTCAATGCTGTGCCATAATTACAGGACCTATCTGCGTACATCAACGAAGTAAAACGAGACTCAGAGATGCTTCAGATCATAGGGGATATCCAGAGTTCCATTACCGACTACCATCTACCAAGAAACGTGCAGCTAAGGGATCATGGCCGTCTCCTCAAAGATGGTGAAGTAAAGGTGAAAAGCCATAGAGACCAAGGAGTCAAAAATCGTTATGTGTTCGTATTCGACCGAGTTCTACTCCTTTGTAAAGCCACAAAGGTGAGATTGTGAGAAAAAAGAAAAACGTCTCAGACAGAGAGTATTCATTTTAAAATTGCACTAGGTGATGCATTATCATAATATTATTGTGTTTACTTAATACTTACTTTACTTTAATTTTCGAGAACGTTTGTAGTTACCATCGGCAACTCTATGAGTTATTTTAGTAACAAAATTCGGATTATGTTTCATGAGTGTTGTGATACAACATTTGCTGCAAACTGATACAGATATTTTAGGAAGCCTGGTAATGCTCCAATAGATATTTAAAAGTTACATAATGAAATTAGTCCGGTTCAAAGCTTCATAAGACAGTTAAAAAAAATAATGATACGTAAAAAGCAAAATATTTCTAACACCCGCCAGATTATTCAAGATTGAAAAGAATAACTCCCTAATATTCTTTTAAGGAAATGTGGGCATCCTATTTTTACTATTTTTCAAATACTTGATCTTCACATTACTGGACAAAAACCCTCGTTTGTTGTCCCTCATCAGAGCCGGAAATCACCACTCGCTGTTAGTTCCCTTCCGGATATTATTTACTCGGTATGCTTCCACCGCTCAGTAATCGACAATGGATAATAATAACGCAGCTTTCACTAACAATCTCAATAGTCTACTAAAATGATTGCCAGAATCATACATGTTTGAGAGACTTGTTTGAAGGGTAGGTTCGCTTGGCTAGTTACCGTTTCTGTCTCACCGAAGTTGCCTTCTTCTCCGTTCGTGACGTTCCTCCGCGGTGTCACTGGCTCACTTGTTCGCGGCCTTCAATGGTATTAATCGTAGCGAATCAGCAACGTCGGTAGAATCGTTCGTCCATGATCTAGCTAAATATCTGTGAATGCTTGTTTCCCAAAAGCAAAGCACTGGTCTATATAATGAGCAATGCAAAATTATGGGTTCCTCCTTAAATCGACAACGTCAGATTGACGGTTCAATTGAGTCTCGGACGTTAGATACATCCATAGTATATATTGAGCCGCAATGTTAGAAGGCTCAAGATGTCTGCTTCAAGCTTCGTTTGTAAAACGCTAGAACTCTATATAAAGATGACTATGTGCTACCAGATCAGACTAAAGAGCATGCTTTATGACGATTTTTCAAATTATAATACCTAAACATTAGAAAAATGAAAACAGTGAAAAAACGAACTACCGCCACGTCTAACTGTTAACACGCTCTCACCAATCGTAGACAAGGAAAATTTCTGATTCCATTATTTTCAGTTGACATTTGAAATGGCAGCGTCCATGATATCAAAACAGACAGTTGAAAAGTGAATATCGTAAGTTTTCCTTCCTTAATCTTTTTCCTTTCTGTTTTTTGTGTCTGCTTCTGTTCCTCGGGCATTAACTAACCCTGTGTCGTGGGTGGACACAGATGGTGGACAAATGGCTTGGGGTACGTACCATCGTGGGGTGGCTCATGCCATGTCATATCCGTGTAAATCTTGATGGCTACTTGTTCGGCTGTTCCAAACGCGCTTTATGCATGTCTGACTGACTAAATATTTGCTAGATCCCAGATAGTCATATAATTGAACGTCGTTTACCGGCTATAAGATAGCGTACTGTATTTATTTCACTGGTGGAACTTGTCCGGTTGAAAGCGTACGATTTAATTATCGTCTATCGTAGTGCAGCATTGTGGCAAAAATATCCGCGCATATGGCTCATCGTATACATATTTGAATTCGTTTTGTGTGAAATTGTGGTAGAGCTGAAACCCAAGATACACGACACTCGTTAGCCATCGAAAAATAAACCTAAATGGCTGCTACTAACTGATCACTAGCCGATGCGCGCACTATAAATCTGTTTGCGAGACAAGGAACCCACTGTTAGGCAATGTTTCAATCCTCTATTAGAATTTAATATTCTACTTTCTGTTGATTCATCTAAGCATTTTCAAGTATCTGTATCAGCTACAGTACGCAGCTGCCGTGCCTTGTTTAGTCTATGTTGTATTCGGCCACCTACATGTATTGGTCCTTTGATGCCATCTGACTTGTTACTATTTCCGCGTAGCGTACAGGTCTATGAATAAACACAACATGAACGAACGCGCGTAGATGCCTGCGCGTGTGCGTGGCTATCAACCAACTATAAATTGTTGTTTCGTTTCTCACTGATGCTATGAGTGTTTACTAAAACATTATTGAGTATAGACAACACAAGCACCTTGATTATTTCATATGGCTCTTGGCTTAGAACGCTTCGCATATAATCCTGGTAGATGCGAACACGTCACGCATCGGAGGTTTCGTATACTTTGATGCGCTAAATCTTCCTGGCTCTTTGTTTGTTTATATCTTAATTCGTTTGACCTGTGTTACGTGCTTTACTTAATTAATTTAGGCGTTTGCTCAATACATGTAAAAGCTTAATGTACCCGCGGCGAATTCACTTCAGTTCGAAGGAGTTCTTAAGCGAAAATGAACCTGTTCTTACGTTGCCTCCTCCTGTTATTTCGTCTGCTTTGACAAACATATTACCTTATAGGGTGACCAGTATGTGTACAAGGAGTCAATCCCTCTAGGTTCGTACCGGCTGGAAGACTATCAGCCGCTAGGTGGACTTGGTGGGGGTGCAGGTGGCGCCAGCTCGGGAGTAGCGTCCTCGGCTTTAGTTCCGGCGAAATCGTGGCAACATCAGTTTCTACTTGTACATCACGACCAGAAAACGGCGTTCACAATAGCTACGAAGACGCTTGATGATAAGCTTAAATGGATAGAGGCTATCCAAAAAGCACTGTAAGCGTCCCGAGCCCCAAAAAAAAAAAAAAAAAAAGCCTGCTATTAATCTGTCAACATATTGTCAGTTGACCCTTTCACATTAAAATAATAATAGCTAAACTAAGCATATTTTTACCCTATCAGTACTTGAGTCACTCTAGTAGCTGCAACGAGCCTCATCATATGTAAATCTAAAGTTATGATGATTAGCAAACTTCATTTCTGATCCATTGAAGGCTCCATGATTTATACTAATTAATCTTTACTAACCGCAACATTGCCGAACTCCAGAGGATGTGATAACGAACACATGCGTTGTTAAGTATTACTACTGTATATTATTGTATGTGTTGGGCTTTTTGTAGGGACAATCTCGACCCTCCAGCAGCGGCTCAAACAGACCATGAGCGTTTGGATATGAAAACATTTGCTGCACCCATGTATTGTCATCAATGCAATAAACTTATGAAAGGGATCTTCTATCAGGGATACCAATGCACTAGGTACAAACAGTTTATCATCCAAGTGAAATGTCCACGTATATTTTTCGTAAGAAAACTAGTATAGACGTACAAGCATGTAATAAATGCACACTGGTCCTAAATATTAAGGCTATGAATAGGAATCTGGCTTACATAGTTACGGTTAAGTAGAGCGTACGCGTTCGATGTCCTGTGTAGCGTTATTTATTGATTGTGTATTTTCTTGTTGATATTATCTGACAGTACATCGTAGCTGGACTATAATCCGCGCACGCGCTTAGCAAAGCCAGAAAAATCTGCTAATGCATATGTTATATATAGGCTATACGAAACAAAAAAAAAAAGCTTAAATTTGCATTAGTTGCAAATTATTTTTTGTTTTTTATTGTTTGCAGATGTCAAAGAATCCTCCACAGAGAATGCATCTCACAGTCAAGGCCATGTCACCTACAAAGTCCAACTTCCGTTACGCCCGTTCCACTATCCCGGTCAGCACCAAGTATCGGGCAAGCTTGTGCATGCCGATCTTATAATGGCGGAAACAACGAGGACCATCTGACCTTCGAAACGGGTGATATCATTCAAATCACTCGCAAATTAAGCGTCGTCCTTTGGGAAGGGCGGATAGGCAATCGTGCAGGGTTTTTTCCTGCACAGCACGTCGAAGAGATTTCCTCGCTGAACCTAGAGGAGTATCCCTGGTTCGCCGGTGAGTTAATCATTACAAATCTTTGTGTGTGCTACAAGTATGCTCCCTATAAGCTAACGGGTGGCTTAGGTAGCTGAAGCTTTTGGTTGAAGAGCAAAAACCTGCAGCCTCTAGGATGGGGATGCTGGTTTAGCCATCAATATATATTATACAGTATGTGGAATCAAGTGATGATCTTACTTAATAGGCGTTTATTATGGATAAGTAAGCTTAAAAGGTAAAATAATTTATCAACTAGTATTATTTCCAATACGTATTCCATATACAGGTTTATTTTAGGACTGAGACAATATTTAACATTAGTGAAGCTGTACGTAGTTGTATTTTTTTGAATATCCTTGTGCATTTCGCCCATCTCTCAGCACTTGCAATCATAACATTATCATAATTCTGTTGACTTACTAAACTGCAGGCAATATGAGTCGCGACAGAGCAGAGGCTACCTTGGAATCATGTCCTGAGGGCACTTACCTTGTGCGAATTTCAAATAAGCAACTTTCTGGTCAGCTGAGCCAACTGGGTCCTCAGCCTGGTTTCGCTATCTCGTTAAAAGTTCGCGGTGCCGTAAAGCACATGCGAGTGTGTAGTTTTGTTAGTGAGGTGTTGGTGCCGGACGCAAGCCCTCCTCCTCCTGGGGCGGGCGCTAATACCGGCGAATGGCTGTATCTTTGCAAGAAGAAGCTGTTTCGCTCCATTCTGGATCTTGTATCCTGGTATCAGGAACATTCGCTGGCCGAAAGTTTTGCGGGGCTCAACGAGACTCTGCGGACGCCGTACAAACGCGTATCGAACGCTGTCGGACCGCCAGTTATTTCTTATGCTCTTGTGGTTCATGATTTCGAACCCAGCCACACAACAGCCGGGGATCAAAATAGAGCGCAGTTTCTACCGCTTACAAAAGGTCAGTACCTGCTATAGATTGTAAAAGCGCCCTGTTGATTTTTGTGCTTCACGATAATTTTCATACTAATGTTGAATATATGAACTTTCTCATTACTTACGGTTACTACAATGCACGTGTAGGGATTGTGTGCAGGACAAAAAAAGCCTGAAGAGTGGAATCAAAAAGCTCAAATGAGTTTCCTTTGTTTGCGAAGCCAAGGTTTCGAATTATCTTTGAACAAAGGCAATGCCCAATGGAAAACGCAAGATCTCAGTCAGAGAACGAATTTGGTAATACCAGCTTAAGCAAGTGTGTTATCCACTTCATAGAAAGACTGAACTAACGAACATTTGCTAAGGCTGGCTTTAGTGAACCGTAAGTAACCTTTGAATTTGTTGCAACTACTTCACTTTCTCACAGGTGAGCGGGTAGCAATCTTGTCAAAGGAAGGAGATGAGCGCGGTTGGTGGAAGGGCCATCTTAACAATAACTTCGGCTTCTTTCCTAAGACCTACGTGCAGGAAATTCAGCAACAGGACAACAATCATTAAGCTATTCGACAAAGAAGGACCCGTTTTCAGAATGCAACATCTGAAAATCTCATTACATGAAAAAAGCATTATTGAAATGTCCGTATACAAACGAAACGCAAGACAAACAATAGGACCGCTGCATCACATACTGTGTGGTAAAGGATAGTTTGCGTCGACCAGCAAGCAAATGCGCTCTTAAAAGATGGAGAGTATTGCTTTTGCAAAACAGTTAGAACCAATACACTGCTCCTAAAGCTTTAGGAAGCGCATCCAGTCGAAGATGTGCGTCTTAAGAATTAGCTTATGCACGATTAGACATACAAGTATTTAACGATGATTCTACGTTCGCCACGCTATTGCGGCGTCGGCCACTCATCGCAGACGTGCGGTCTGTCAGTGGAAGTTCTCGCGGTGGAACGAAGTACATATGAATCGACGACGCAGACTAAAGCCTCAACTCGGTAGCCGGCTGTAGCAAGGAGGCACGTGCCTAATATGTTCATAATTTTTTATAGGCACCAACATTATTATTACTATTATTCTAGTTAAGCATGTCCTAATATGTCGTACGCATAGTCAAGTCATGGCAAAGCTTACAGCCGTTGCGTATTTGTAGATAAACACCATTATTATGTGTTATTATTATTCGTATCGGTCACAAAGGTAATGACTGTCTAGCCATGCTCTGTCGGGATGTCTATCTGCGTATCTATGTACATTTATTTAAACATTCTGAGGCCATTATTCGGAGCAGTTAAGTGCAACCATCTGGCGGCGGTCCGTTAAGGACTTGCGGAAGTAACGCAGGCGTCTAGAGATTGCATAGCAATTGCCTTTGCTCATAATGGGCTCTGTGACAGACTGTTGAGAAGAGTGCGTCACAAAGAAGTCGAATTTTTCTAGTTTTGGAACAGTCGCAGAAAAAACTACTTGTCGCAGAAGTTGTAGAATTAGCAAGTGTAAAGGTCTTTGGGCATAATTGAACGCGCAATCGTATGCAACCATTTTGGACCGCCTGCTTTGCCTGAATTAAAGGCTAGACAGGTGAATCAACTTCTACACATTTCTTAAGTAATTTTGAAAGTTCGTATTGTGACGTAATACTCTGCCGTGTGTAAGCTATCGATTCAACCTGTACATGACGTCAGGACTGCATTCATCCAAACGCATAGACGGGCTTTGAGATAGGCAGCTATAACGACCGAAAATTCACTCAAGCGTCACAGTCGTTGCAGAAAGTATTGCGTGCTCAAGTAAACTTAGTGAAATTATAGCATCCTCACGCAAGACAATGAAGTCAGTAACTAATTTATGCTTAAATCCTTGGAATGGAGAAAGCAATAGCAGTTGCAGGAAGTATATCCTTACATGATGCATAAAGTTTCTGATATTTTTTGACCAGGCTGAGCCTAAAACAAATATTCTAACAGCGCTTGCATCTAACCTAAAAAGTGCCACCTTCGACGTATCTGTATATAAAAAGGATTCCGTTTACTATTGAATTGAAAACAAAAGAGTATTCTGCACTACTGCTCGTGGCTGTCGTATTATTTATTGTTTTCCTTTCAACGTTCATTTGCATAAAAGTTGTTCCTATTTTCAATTGTTGAACAACACGTTTCCTTATAAACTAACTGCAGCTCCATAAAAGGGAATGCATTTTCAAGAAGACCCTTTCTGGACATGACCCAGTTACGAATACATCTGCAAGGCTTTAGAATCCGCTCATAATGATCGATTATCTCTCGTCCAATCAATAACACAATGGATGAACTAAGCAGTGCCTCGAATCCTTCCTTACGGCCCCCATCGTATTGCTTTACAACGATAATTGTTAGCCACGAAACCGGGTTTCTATGTTTTCAAACGCCGTGAAAGATCGGTCCTCAAGAGATTTCCGAATTCGGAACGTCATAGTTTCATTCATATAAACTATACGCGATGGAGGGTTTTTTTACTTACGTACCCATTAGCAAATGGCAGACACTTGGCCCCTCGTTCCTTACGAATTCAATAAGTTTACTGTTCCTTCGCTGATTAACGAATACAGTGATGTTGAGATTAATTATGTACGTGCAAATGTATGCAATAGTAGCGTGTGTACTGGAACTGGGATACGAAACCAGCTGAGACCTACGAAATCGTCGCCATCGAACAAGTCTTTTGCTAAATTCTAAATGCTCCCTGTTATCCGTAATGAATAGTAGCTTTCATTCCGTATTTCAACCGGGAAGCATGGATATCATTTGGACAGGTAGTCTATTTCTGTGAACATATTATAGCTCCGGCATGATTATAATAGCAATGGCGACCGTTAACATCGTTTCCGTAATATACATTTGGATGAACTTCAGAAGCCACGCGAGGCTTATATATGCATTCACTGTTCACGCTAAACTAATCAAGGTGCCCTCGTCTTGCGCATCGGTTGACAGGAATGGCAAAATTACATAGAGGATTATAAAATAAAATGTGTGAATATTATTTAATGCATCTGTTTGCGTTTATGAGCGCTAAATTATATTATTTATTATCATTTAGACGTCTAGAATGCAGATAGATATGCATTCTAGATATTTGAATGCCGTGTCGACGGCAACATTGCGAAGCTCACGAGTTATTTCGTGATGACCAATGAGGCCGCTAGCAAAGGGAGATTTCAGTAATATTAGTAAAGAAGAAACGGCTGACTCGTAAAAGCTATCTCTGGTGCTGATGAGATACTTTCGACAAAACTCAGAATGTTACACGCATGAGTTCAATCGCCTAATTGTTCTTCTTTACATGAAACAGCTAGGCATATCTTCACAGTCTCAATCTCTCTGAATATATCATCTTCGTGTAGGGTGTTGCCATGGGTAAATGGCAGATTTTAAAAATTGTGTTTAAAAGTGAGTGTGTACTCAAAGTGAACAGTCAGAAAGTACATAAGGCCTGAGTTGATTATATAGGACGCATCGGGCTTACGCTGCTGAAGGACGGTAACATAGGCCTAGAAAGGAAGTAGCATACTGGTAGCGCTAGATCTCTTTTCACTGAAAGCTACGCTAGCAAAGTTGCGGCATTCAACAAGCTGGACAAACCGACGCAATTGAGAAGCTTTCGGATGCATAGTTAGCTTGGCCAATACGGCCCTTTTTCGCATATATGTCCGAATGGTATGTCTAGACAAGCTGCCTCAACGACAAAACAATTCACTAACCGTTGTTATTGGAGCTGTATACTTTCGTTTCGTAACCATTGCATGTACTATCGTATTTCGTTGTGTTTCATTGGTCAGCTGTCAACGGAAACTTCTACGTAACTTGACTCTGTGATTAATCAAGTAGCGTTTTTCAAAGTTCAGAATAATTATATCACTTTGTATGGAAAAGATTATCGCGAAATATGCTCCTATTGAATTGTTCGAGTGACTTGTTCAATAGCAACATATGAAAGGGCCATATTTTAACCACATTTGGTACGGCAGCGAGATGAAAGAAAAAATATCAAGATAAGAGCAATAAGTTTCATAACGAACTTGGCTCAAAATGGTCGTGGTCAACTTCGCAGCTGACCAATTCGTATCGCCTGCTCAATAGCGAGTGCCATCTTTGAACTTCGGATGCCTGTAAAGCTGACAAACAGTTTAACTGACATCTACGTTTCCTTAAATTGAGGCAGAAAATCTTAGGTCTCTTCGGAGGCCCATGCAGTTAGACAAGCCGGCTGTGTGTCTGTGCGTGTGTTAAACGTTTGCGTCGGTATTTATGATTAGGAACGTTTTCGTAATCAAGAAGAGGCGACAGTATGGTTCAGGCAGGAGCAGACAAGATTGACTAGCGACAAAGAAAAGCTATAGTAAGATATAACGACGGTTTTATATGGTGTCAGACGTACACAAAAGACTCTTGAAGACTGTGTAGTAATCCCATACAACACCGCTACCCATGTAATCTCTATTCTTTTTACTACTACCGTGCCGCAGCGATAGATAACTGAAGATGGATTTTTCTAGGTTCTGTCGAGGCATTTAGTGATGATCGACTGGTCTGTTTTAACGCTACAATCGGGTTCCACACTGAATAGACAAAGGAAAACGTAGACAATTTATTCTTCGGTTCCGGCAACTGAACTCGACTTGCCTAGTAGAAACGTCGGGTGCCCAACAGCAGAGTAGTACGACCTAGGTGCAATAAAAAAAATTTTATTTCATAATTTTGGCCCTGAGTTACAACCCACGCCACTTCAGCTGAGCCGTAAAGTATGCGAAACGACGGTAATAAAATATTTATTATACACCGATGCTAAGTATATATCGCTGCGATAATAAGTGCATATTGCGGGCGTACGCGGGGTACCACAACAATGACACAAGACAAAAACTATTAGTTCAGGTTTGCATTGGGAACCTCGCTATACAGGCGTGATTGATCCTGGCAATAAACGCGCTGGAGATACGTTGCTCCACGAATCAATATAACCAATCACGAAGCTGTTTGAGTTCTGTGATTGGTTATATTGATTTAACCTAAAAGTGTAGCGAAAGGGAAGCTGGGAAAGTTTACTTCACAGTCGAGTCGAGTGATGTCATGTTTGTGCCAAGAAATATGTATATGCTCCTTTGAAATTATAGCTTTTCGCAAAATATCAGTCTCCCCCGTCCCGATCTCTCTCCCGTTTCTCTCTCTAAGCAACAATAGGAAATATTTCTCGTTTAGAAATGATGCGTTGAAAAGGACTCTTATTCCGTCATCCTACAAATACGCATTGGCACATTTTTAGCGGGTTGGTTACAGTAGAAAAGAGGGACTACAGCTCACCCACCGTAAGTGAATTGACGCACATAGCAATGCTGAATATAAGACAAACGACAATATCAACCAGTTCTTACGTTTAATAACAATATCATAACCTAGTTTGATAATGTTAATTCAATGATCTGCGCAAGCGCCATTAATAACAATACATTATTATGTGTGTGTGCCATTGTCAATGTTTGTCTATATTTGTACATTACATGAGGTCGACTCTGAGGTACAGATCTTGTTGTTGTTGTTATTATTATTGTTATTATTACAGTGTGATCCGTGTTTTTCAAGGCGATAGTTATCAGCGGAATGTTCATTTACGCTTTCTGTTAGCGCAGAAAAATACAATAATAGAAATAAACGAAAATTAGTTGAACGTCTATCTGCTCATAATAACAGGAAATAATTAAGGCTCTCGAATACGATAGCAGAGGTAGGGCTGCGTTCAATGGCAAACTGTTCGAGTTTCAGCGATACCACCTCTCTATGTGTATCTCCGATGAGTAATTGTTACGCAACCCTTATCACATGTAGAGATTTCCGTATATGAAACATAGTGGACCGAGGTTGAGAAGCCAACCAATGCATGCTTATACAAAAACTAACTCACACGTTATAATGCAGGCCCTTGAATGTACAGATTCAAGACGAGAATACAGTGTGATGGAACATTTACAAAATAACATAAGTGATGATGGAAACGATAGCGACATGACCCTAGCGCTGTTAGGTCGTTGAATGGTAATCGTACATGCAACGAGTCCGTGGCCTTATGGATTTATTGCAAGCTCAACCTCGCAAAATTATATGCCACCTGGCGGTTTGATATGATGTAAACTGTGACTTATATCTAATAGGAGCATGTAATTCCTAAACACTATATACAAGCCTTTGTCTTCGCCCAGACGCGTCGCGGGGGTGTAGTCACAGTGATGCCGGCCCACGCTCGCCAGGAGAACAACGATCGCAATTGCGACAGCGGAACAAGTAATTGAAGTAGACAGTAATAACAAACGGTAACAATATAAAAAAAAAAATGGGAATATTTTCAATCAATTGAGTAAAATCTGGATCATAAACTCAAGTGGCTTGTCAAATGAAAAACCATATACGCCATGTAAATGCCATGAATAATGTCAATCTGAGCTATTAAATACAAGTTAAGCGATTATAGTGTGAAAGAGGCGCCATATAGGAATTTGAAATGGATAGGTGAACGCGTGAGGGACAAGTTAGGGGGGATGCACAGTCGTCGACCCTCAATAAAAACAAGATGCACGTAGGCTTATGTACTCTGGTAGTTGCACAATGAGTATCATGTTTGTATCTCCGTTGATATATACCTAAATAAATACAGGCGAATTAGTAGACCAGCGTAACTCCAGACTGAGAGCAGCTTTACAGGGCGCGAAGACCTTATAGGCAAAAACACGGACCTTAATAACATTGAACTCTAACGATCAAATGATATTGCTGCGTCAAACTAATAAAGAGAATAACACTATGAAACGTTAGCTAAGTCGTTGGTTTTTATTGTCGTTCTTAATACAACCAGTTGATTTTGCCGGTTCCGCGCTTGCTACTGTCTCGTAGTGATAATTCGAAAAAAGTATTTGCAATAAAGTGTATTGAAGGGCCTAAGTTCATGTTTAAACTTTCAGTATATAAAGCCGAGCTACTGAGCGAGTTTGGTAAATCAACACCGGAGCCTTGAAATCATACGGTCGCCATTTCCGACCCCATGGGTTCATATTCGCATTCCGATCCGTCAATAAATATGCTGTTACTAATATTCTCGCTAGACCTCCGATCTTGGCCACGCTCCACCCTACAAATTGGATTGCCATTGCAGCGCCTTAGAATTTCCCCTTAGCTTCTAATGGAGGTGCCTGAACCAATTTATTATTCCTATCAAGAGATGGTCCTATTAATACTTTTTTTTTTTTTTTTTTAAATACATGCTATGCCTATTAAACATAACGTGCCCCGGAAACAGAGCGTTTACTTGCACTATAGTCTTTTATTGTTAGGTCCAAGTGACGCAAACCAGTGAATTGTTTGGTTCCGATATAGGGGGTCAATAGAAGTACATAGTACAGAAATGATACGGTATTCATTTAATAGATACCGTAAAAGATACATTGCTATATGATTTAAAATGCTGAGTGCCAAAATAGCCCGTCATAAAATATCTGAGATATAACAGCTAGGGGTTTTCCGATGACAAGCGGCGAAGGGCATGTAGATCTAGTCGGAAGACCTTGAATATAAAGCTGATATCCATTTAAAGATTTTCGTAAGTTTCGAATTCGTCTTAGATAATACATAAACAAGAAATGTTTAGTAGAGTGTCGCCGTGAAGCTCTAGCGAAAGTATAATATTAATGTCGCAATTGTACATAAATAATAATAGCAGTGAAAAAATTTCGAAATTATTTTTGGATTTCTCTCAGTCATTAATTCAACGGCTAAATAATGTAGTTACGTCAATTCTGTCATCATCGATTCCGTCAAATCATTAATTACCAATGCAACGTGTGGAAAATGGTCCTTAAACCTGAAACCGAGGTAAGCAGGTGCGGTACTTTTATGTGCATCAAACCTAGCGCCTTGAGGGTCTCAAGACGCGTCCATTTTCTGAATACTCTGTTATCGTCTTTGCACAGGATCACGCAGGAGACTTATTTTTAAGTTCAAAATGAAAAACTTTAGGATTCGTCTTGGCTCACTGCGAACTGTGTGCTAAATGCCTCGATGACTATTGGCAGGGGATAGCTTTACATTTCCGAAGGGTACAAGCGCCCCGAAAATAAAACATCATGTCGCAATGCTGTACCGATATAAAATAAGCCATTTTGAAAGGCTAGATTAACGTTTCTCACATTTCGTAGTCAATGACCTAACATATATATGTATACATTACACACACGGTATCTAATACCGAACTAATGTGAAAAATGTATTATGTATGAATCATCGAATATGATAAGGAAATTGAAAAGAAGCAAACATCTCAATTGAATTTCCCCTAATGATAACAACGGAAAATCCAAATTGTATCATCATCAGATTGCTATTCTCTTGGGGTATTCTTTTGGGGTAGCATCTAGCTAGCTGCCCCGAATCGTTTCGGCTCCCGTTTTGAATGACTGAGTACCGTTCGATGTTCACAACGGTAAAGTCATCGACGCCGCTACTCTGTTTATGCTCGAAATATACCTGCGGTATTGAGGATGATGCCCGTTGCTAGCCAACTTGAAACATAGTAAGTAGTATTTGCTTTTCGTTAGTTTATAACCTTTCTGAGCGGGCACAGTGAAGCGAACGGTCAGCTTAAATCGGATCTGACCTGGCCGAAATGAGGCAATTTAGAAAAATCTAGTAACAACTCAACTAGCAGTTGAAGGGTGAGCGGAAAGAAAAACGAAAATTGTTATGTCTAAAGATTAAGTTCAGCTTATGGAGATATTTATTAGCTGTGCATCATTGCAACAACAAGTTCATATAATGGACGTGTAACTACGAACAAATGAATAGAGTGTAAATAACTTCTGACGGCTTGCTACCTGCTTAGGTTATAATGCCAACACTAGAATTGATAACAGGCCACAAAGAATTAGCCTAAAGAGCGCCGCTAGCGTCTATTATCATAGCCGGATGGCCAGTAAGGGAAGCTTACCACAGCTGCTTGTTCTCTTAAAGATACAGATAGAACAGACGGGTATAAATTGTTACCCAGGCGTGCCGTATCATAGCCAACCGAAGCGACGACCAACAAATTTTGCTTTATCGGCGCGTTACCACCTCATTTTAAGACTTTCGCAAGCATAAAGCTATATGGTCATGCTGAAGACGAACAGAGGCCTAGAATGTCCCAGAAGACAACGTATATCACCTACTGCCTCTTCATAGAAATCTCATTGAAAATTATTATAGTTCAAGTGGAGATTATGCTTTGGTCAGTTTACAGGTTGAAATTTACGCGGCGATTGCTCTAGGGATTGTCGCGCTGATTCTACCAGATCGATGTTTGCAGAGCGTAGCTAGATTTGAACAATTGTAATATTTGCAATAGAAATAACGTGTAGCCATTTTCTCAGATTCGCTCGGAAGCAGTTTCTGCCCAGATCGGCGTGTATGAACATCTACGATAACGGTCGGTTCCCTTCCTCTGAGCATCGCCCAATGGCTAACTGGAGCATATATTCTTCCGATAGTTTTAGCTTTAACAGTATAAAAAGCACTATAACTAGTAGGAGCAGTATACGTTTCATTTGCGCACCAGGGCCTAGAACAAATGGCAAGGCAGGGACTAGGCGACATCACCACCACAGATTTACGGAAATCTGATACGACTGGTGCCGCCGTGGCCATTACCGCCGAAATCGTAGGCCCAGTAGAGAGTTTATCCAGCTTTTCTTGTCACCTTTCGTCATTCTATCCCTGTGGAACAACAGTTTATTTCAGTGGCATTATCGTGATTGTTAAATGATGTCGCTGGTGGCGACAGCATCAAGTGGCACTAGTGGTGATGCAGTGCGATGCGCTGCTGTCTTTTCTGCAACCGACTTCTTTGTCTTCATTATCTTTCGCCGGGGGAAAGCGCAGTTCGCTCGTGTTCAGTCGGGTGGAGGATGACGAGTTGTTTACGGATATTGATAAAGCCGTCAACGGATAGAGCGGTATCGTCGTCTTCAGACATTATAGTCAGCAGCAGCAACAAAGGGGCCCGATGGTGAAGTTCTGCGCTGGCCTGCATCTCTTATGAATATGACACTAGCCCCGTCAGCTATTCGCTCCGCTGTTGTTATTACGGTTATACTGGATGATGACAACAAAGTAGATGAAGAACGAACGTCGAACAAAGAATAATAGAACAAGACAAAGAACCAGATGTATAGCGGGGTGGGGTGGGGGTTGTCTAAGCGGGAGGGGTAAATATGCTTGGTCATCATTTTGCCCATTTTGAGATAAGCGTCTCTTACGAAGAGCGAGACGACGACTCTTACTCTAGTATGAACTATGGTCAGGAAAGAGGACAAGAAAGACGGGATAGAACGCCACGAGCACATTTAAACAAACGTAGCTAAACGGATTTGGATTCAATCGACATGGCTATTTTTCATTTCGCCGTTAAGAGTCAACGGAAAAGAACGTCGATTTACCGATCCCTGTAGCCCTCGTGAAGTGCGTTTCCTGCGGCCGATGATGCTTGATAATAACTCAATCATATTAGGACTAGTTCTTAAGAAACGAATGCATACCGCTCTGTGGGTAGTGAACATACGCATAGATATTTGAGGTTCTATCTATGTGTTAATTTGGTTTTTATTTCTAGGTGGTATCTAAGCCTCAGGTCCTGAAAGACTCGGCTAATTATCTAGCTAAATGACTGCGCCTTTGTCTCTCTGCGATCCGTTACAGAAATAAAGTCCCGCAATGGAAATGGCGGCAGCAATTGTAAAAATCTTTTTCCGAGATTACGGACGTTGTTTTCGGTTTAAGTTAACCGACAGAACGTTGAGTATTGAACACCAATGTAGAAATATATCGACGTAACGTGCAGGAACTAATCGTTCGACAGTACATGAAACAGTAAAATTAGTCAACCACAACAGAAGAAGTTCTGAGTAACTCGAAGACGTAATTGTTGACTGCTAAATTAAACGTTTCGCTGGTAGAAGCACCGATCGTGCTAGTACTGTTACGGCTACCCCCGTTGCTCGTCTAATTCACGCACGATACGTCCGTCGTCAGGTATGTACATGACGTGTTGAAAGTAACAACGGCCATATTATCATAGGATTAAGCCGCAACAGGGGATTATCTTTAATTTGTTCTTGTTTATCGTCGTTTTGGCAGTAATCAAAGTACGGAACCGTTAGGCTGTCGACTAAAACTCAAACGCTTACCTAAAACCATGTTTCCAGGCCCGCTGACTCGCTGAACTTACATAGACCCCATAGGCATACTACATGCATTCAAATAAATGTACACAAAAAACAGACAGACAGATATCTAAGGCGCGTATGTACAATACGAATGAAATGTTTCTGTTGTTATTGTTATGGAAGTCATAATGGCGCTGTTAAAGCAGCAAAAACAAACCCTAGAATTTCAGATTTCTGCTAACTTGATTGATAGTTCGACAATGACAGCAAGGATAAATTAGAGAACGATTAGGGCAATGGAATTTCTCGTCGTCATCGTTCACAAATAGACAGTGTACATAAAATCGCCTACTTCAACGCTGATTCACAACAAATGTGTTGTATATATATATGAAGGATAGGGCAAAATCTATTGATAAATACATATGGATGAGCAGATGTGCATATACGGTAGAATCACCAGCGCCACCGAACAAGGAGATGATGCCGCTGCCTGTCGCATACTAAAACATGATCGTCATAGCTATTTTGTATCTTCCCTAGTCCCTATTTCAAACGAATCACCGGAGCGGAATATTGATTGCATATTCAATTACGCTTGAAAATGGTGAAGCTTAG